CGTAGAGATCCGGACCCCTTACCACTCTCCCGGCCTTCTGTAAAGCCACTAAGACCTGGCTGTTCTGGCAAGCCTGGGGCTGTTGATCAATGTCCAGCCCCACTTAGACTGAATGGATGTTGTGTAATTTTAACAATTGTATTTTTTACTTTTAAATTTTTAAATGCTTTTTTATCTGTCTATAAGCCGCCCAGAGTCCCAAGGGAGTGGGCAGCATACAAATTTTATTAAATTGAAATTGAAATTGAAATTGGATGACTGAGAATCTCCACAGACATGCAAATTCTTTTTGTCTTTTCATTGTAAGTGATATATCGATATGACTTGTCTTTTCAATTTGCACCTGGCTTAGAGTCCTGTAAATAGGCATTTATGAGAACATCTGAAACTGTTTCGCTTTTTTATGAATTTTTCTTGTTATCTTGAAGTCAGACAAAAAGTGTCTTAATAACCACAAGACTATTTATATTTTCATCTGCATTACTTCTTCATTTCTCTTCCAACATATAAAGCAATACCTTCCCCCATAATTTAAAATTTCATTTTGCTCGCAGACGGAAAGGGAAAAAAAATCCCAAACAGCATTCTAATTAAATTAAACATATTTGTGCAGTATAAGGGAATCCATACACTTCCTAATATTGTGAAACCATAGCAGAGTCAAAAATGCAGGGCTTTATATATGAAAACACCTTGTGGGCCAGTACCTTCTTAACCCTGCATTAATAGAAGCATCAGCAACTAAATAAAAAAATCTAACCAATTAATGTGGTTGGACTGAGATTACTTCTCATAGTGTCCATAAAAGACAATGACTTCCTTGCCATCTCTAAAATTTTCTTCCTTTTGGGAGTAAGAAAACTATATAGGAAACTTGGTGAGCCAATCATTCTCTCCAACCTTCACCTTAGGGTTGCCATTGTGGAGAATAACTGGACACCTCGTGTCAGCTCTTTTAGGCTGATGAAAAGCCAAGATGTAGAATTTTAGGATTTCAGCTAACATAACTTCAGCTATCTTAAATGAATATTGTCATTTTTGCTTGACTTAAAGTGCTTTTATACAGTTATGTCAAAATAGTAGCAGAGCTACCTCTAAGTGTAATTTAACTGCTTAGTTCGTTTTCTTTAGTGCTTTTACAGGCCATCATTCAGAGCAAAACTCCTAATGCAACGGACATTTAGAAAATAAATTACATGAAAGTCATAATTAATACAAAGTTCCACACAAGAGTAGTAAGACCTGAGAAGACCTATTAGTCAATTTGCGACCACAATTTTGTCTAGGACACCAAGGGTCAGTGACTGAAATCACAGTAGGCTAAATAGCATGGCAGAATTAAGTTTGCATTGGTTTCATCCTATTTTGTAGATTGCGTACATTTGCTTACATTTCCTATATTAACATTGGTCTTCTCCAAGTAGCTCTATCCTATATCTGGCAAAGTCATTTTTATATACATCGCACTGATTTTATTTTCCTCTATTATTTATGTAATGTTTTTAAAGCACTTTTGCTAGTGTCCTATGTCAGTGATTGTTGTAGTGGGAAAAGAGAAATTTGAAAATGTTTAAGCTTTCTTGCAAGCTAGTGAAAAAAATGACCAAATGTTCCCTCTCTTCCCTTTCTCTCCATCACAGGATGAAGATGAGACGCCACAAGCTCTTTTTGACTCTGTGCATGGCTGGTCTCTGCCTCATCTCCTTCCTTCATTTCTTGAAGGCCCTCTCCTATGTCACATTCCCCAGGGAGCTGGCATCGCTTAGCCCCAACCTCGTCTCTAACTTATTCTGGAACAATGTACCGGTCACACCTCAGGCTAGCCCTGACTCTGGGGGTCCAGAAATTCTCCGTACCCCATTATATTCCCACTCACCACTGCTTCAGCCTCTCTCTCCAAGCAAAGCTGGTGAGGAGCTTCACAAAGCTGAGTTTGTGCTGCCTGAAGACACCACTGAATACTTTGTACGCACCAAAGCTGGTGGTGTTTGCTTCAAGCCAGGGACTAAGATATTGGAAAAGCCACTAGCAGGACGTCCAGAGGAGAAGATAGAGGGAGTTATATCGGGGCGCTCAGGCCGTAAACCTCTGAGTGCCAGTGGGACAAAACGACGTAAATGGGTGGAGTGCATGTGCCTGACAGGTTGGCACGGACCCAGCTGTGGTGTTCCCACTGTGGTTCAGTATTCAAATCTCCCCACAAAAGACCGCCTGACACCACGAGAGGTGCCCAGGAGAGTCATTAATGCCATCAATGTGAATCATGAATTTGACCTCTTGGATGTGCGTTTCCATGAACTAGGCGATGTGGTGGATGCCTTTGTGGTTTGTGAATCAAACTTCACAGCATATGGTGAACCACGCCCTCTCAAGTTCCGTGAGATGTTACTCAATGGCTCCTTTGATTACATCCGCCACAAGGTGCTCTATGTCTTCCTGGATCACTTCCCCCCTGGTGGCCGTCAGGATGGCTGGATTGCTGATGATTATCTGCGTACTTTCCTAACTCGAGATGGCATCTCTCGCTTCCGCAATTTGCGCCCTGATGATGTTTTCATTATTGACGATGCGGATGAAATCCCAGCCCGTGATGGTGTGCTTTTCCTCAAACTCTATGATGGTTGGACAGAGCCTTTTGCCTTCCACATGCGCAAATCTCTCTATGGATTTTTCTGGAAGCAGCCTGGCACTCTAGAAGTGGTTTCTGGTTGTACAGTTGGAATGCTCCAGGCTGTTTATGCCACTGATGGAATTCGCCTCCGTCGGAGAGAATATTATACCATGTCAGGCTTTCGGCAGTATGAAAACAGCACAGGTCACATCCTAGTACAGTGGTCACTGGGCAGTCCACTCCACTTTGCTGGCTGGCATTGCTCTTGGTGTTTTACACCTGAAGGAATTTATTTTAAACTGGTTTCAGCTCAGAATGGGGACTTTCCCCGTTGGGGTGACTATGAGGACAAGCGAGACCTTAACTATATTCGGGAGTTAATTCGGACTGGTGGGTGGTTTGATGGTACCACCCAGGAGTATCCACCTGCAGACCCCAAAGAACAAATGTATGCCCCCAAATACCTTTTGAAGAATTATCAACGGTTTTGTTACTTGTTGGAAAATCCCTATCAGAAGGCAAAGGGAACAGGGTGAGGGGAGTGGGCTTGCATGAGAAAACAGGATCTTTTGGGAAAAAAGGGAAAGTCAGACTGTGTCTTTTGTTTCCCCCCCCCCTGCCCCATTCTGCTGGGATTTGTACATTCTCTCTAACCTGTCAGTCCCATTGCAGACAAGAGACTTAGGGTGTGTGTGTGTGTGGAAGGGACTCCTAGTTAGGTTAATAACTAGGAACATTCCTGTCCCCAGGAACTAGCTTTTTGTAGGATTGAAGAAAAATCTGATGCAGGAAGCATGGGATCTGGGGAGCATGCAGTGGAGGTGTGAGGGTATGAGTCTGCCAAAGCCCCTACAGCCTTTGTAGTATAGCTAAGGATAACATTCAATTCCATTTTTAAAACCCAGTTTCTCCTAAGTACTTTGGCATCAATGGCTGTTCTGCTTTCCTAATATATGGCCACTTAGAGAGATTTTGTCAGTGAAAATGGACATTGAGCTCATCTAGGAATTTTATATTTTGCCATGTGAATCTGTTATATGAGGATATAAAGATGGGAGCACACACAAACTGGAAGCATAGTAGCACCAAAGAATTCTGCTTTCCATCTCATGATTATGGACATTCAGGGAAACTTTACAAACTGGCAGGGTATGAAGGTTGAAAAGCTGTCTGGTTTTGGATATATATTTGGATAGCTAGCCTTTAATATAAGAATAAGATGACAGCACAACCTGAAGCCCAGAGATTTGAAAAGAGTATAGCTATCACAGATACACTTCCCTCTTCTTCAGCAACACAATGTGATGTTTACATTTTCAACTAAAACAGGGTGTGTCTAATGCTTCAGAGGAAAGGAGAGGTCAGCTCCAGTGCCCGTCTTTCTACTTCTGAAACAGAAGAAGTGCAAAGGTACTTGGCTCTATGATGCCATCATTTTGAGGACAAGGGAATATTGTTGCTATACAAATACCAATCATTTGGTTTGCAAAGGCAGAGACGGGAAAGGAGGGTGTCTTATGGAAATGAAATGAGAAGCCAACAATTATATTCTGAATGCCAAGCATTTCTATGTTCCTTTTTTTTTGCAGCTTTCAATGAAATATATCATTGCCGCCACCCCATCACTTATGTGTCTGTGGCCCTAAGAAAGGATGAAAAACAAGTCAAGATTTACATTTTGCTAGCTGCTAGGAAAATATATGAAGCAATGAGGAAGAGTTCAACAAGAGTTTCTTTGTCATAATGTGTTATTCTGTCACATACCTCTTTCCTTGTTTGATCCACCCAGCATTTCACACTCTTTTCTGCCTTTACAATAACTGAAGTCCCACCTTTCTAGAGACTGCAAGCCATGTTGTATGTGATTTGTCTTTTGCACATTTTGCCTGGGCAGTATACTCTGCCAATTCATCCTCTTAACTTTCTTTATGTGGTGAATATCTAAATACAGATTCTTCTCCAATAGATTTTTTTAGTTTGTGCTTCAAGCGTGGCTCCTTTACCTGCAAAATAATATTCTGTTGCTTGACTGAATTCATCAACAGTTTAAAAATAAATTATTTTATGATAAGTACAAAAGAGCCCTGAGCTTGCTTAAAATCTGTCGTTATCAAGAAGAGAGCTGTACTACTTTTTATCTTGTGATCAGCATAAGGATGGAGTCAATATTATATTAAACTTTCCCTCTCTAGATGTTGTTACTTGCTCTATCGTAAAATTAAACTGAGCCAGAGAAGATACACATGCCTTATATTGTGAGAAAGATTTGTCATGTCAAAGGAGACCAGAGAAGAGTATTTCAAGGGTCTTGTGGCTATGCTAAAGCAAATGTGTAGCAATTGCAAAAGAACCACTAGTGAGGAACTGAAGGTAGTGAAACACAAGTTTTCTTAGTGTTTCTTAACTGCAGACGCAGGGAGTGTTTTGCCTTCATCCTTGTGACGAAATGAGAATCTAGGCCACAACTCCATTGCTCTCTAGTTCTAATTAAACTTCAACCACCAGGAGGTCTATCATGTCTCAGTTATAAAAAGTGACAGGAGTGGATATCCAACATCAGAAAGATTGCAAGTTGTCCACTTTAGTTTAGGGCCAATTTCCAGTGCAGTGCTCTCTAAATACGTTGGACGTCACATTTGGAAAGCTGGGGAAGGCTAGTCTAGAGGCTATAGTTTGTAGTGCTTATAATTCCATTAAAAAGCAGTAATTGGGAGATGCTTCTTCAGTATTGATAGGAACAAAGCAAATGGAGAAGGTCCTTCCAAACTACTGTAACAAGGGAAGACATGAACTCAGTGAGACATGAACTGGAAGCATATCTGACCATTGGGTTCAAGTCAACTTTACTTAAAAAGACAAGAGATGTTTTTCTATACTATTACTGTGGAGTTTCCTAGAAAAATGCACCCTTCCCTTCAGCTCAGTCAACATTGATTTGTGATACACATATAATTTACCACCTACATTTTGTATGTGTGACTGTGATTGACTTTTACAATAAATGCCCATGAATTCTTAATTCACCCATTAGCACAAATTCTTGGCTCCACCTGTCATCAAAATGCAGCCAAAATGTTTCTGAGTTCTTCTTTTATCCTTCTACAATTTTTTAACCATCTTTTTCTTTCCCACCTCTCTTTTTCTCCCTTTATTTTCTTTCCCTTCCACTGTTGTTTCCAAGGAACAGATCCCATTCTAAATGGATAAGTTAACACTAAATTCCTCTGGGACGCTGAAAGGACTCTTTGTTCTGGTCTCCTCCTCCAATTGCATCAAAGTGAAACTTGAAACTGACCTCTAATAGGAGAGAAAAGGAGAATTTACAGTAAAATCTTTGCTTTAATAATAGTAACAACAAACTTTTGCACAGGGTAGCCTGAAACAATTCTAGTATATGAACCACCTATTTATTTATTATATAGCTACTAGCATTCAGTTTCATAGAGCAGACTGTAAGGAACTTTGCACTAATAACAATCGTTTGAGCATCTGTTGTGGGGGTATGGGAGACTTAGTTTTGGGAAATGGCTCTTCTCTTCCTTTTTTTCCCCTTCTCAGCCATCATGAATAACTGGAGCTAATAGGATAATGCCTCTTAGCGGTTGTTGATCAAAAATATATATTTTCTTTACAGCCTTTACCCCACCCTATTCTACTGTACTGTTCCAAACAAATCTGTAGATGAGTTTAAGCATAATTGCCACAGTCAATGGCAGCCATACTGAGTAGTTGATAAGTGGTGCCTACTTTGCAGTCTGCTTTTGGACCTTAGCTTCTCATTTGTATAGTGTTCAGAGAACGCCTTACTCCTACGACATTCTACGGTACTCCTTTTTCCAAACTTACAGCCTGATCAAACCAGGCGATAATATTCATCCTAGGCTATGCCTCTCTTTAATTGCAAGTGGGGGAATTCATTGACCTTCTTTATAAAACATGAATTTCTCTCAATATAGAGAAGCACATAAGGAGAGAGAAGATTTTTTAAAAATCTTATCAGCTTCTATGATGTGCTCATTTGGTATCTGCAGTTGGGATGTGCTCTGTGTTGTAGTCCATTTTCTGCAGCTTTTACCATAGCAGAAGCCAGGAACTGTTCTATTATTTGCTTCTTATATGAACTAGGCTAATCATGGCTTTAATTTATTCTTATCTTATTATCTTTTAATCTCTTATACAATACAGGCAGCAACTTAGGAGACTTCTGGAGTTATGCTACCGCCTTTGTCCATTTGTTCTAATTCTCTTTTTTTTTGTAAATCTTCACTACAATTCTGGCACATCTTATTTTAGCTTTCTACAACCTGCTCTTAGAATGGAAGTCAAATCAGCTTAAGCAAAGTCTATGGTGGCTGAATATTAATGCAATTGCCATCTCAATATCTAGGAAAATACCAAGTTAAGAAAACCTTTTCTAGTTAAGTAAGATATCTGGCATTAACTAAAGGATTGTATATGCTCATCATTTGATTCTCTGTGGGGTTCTTTTCTTACTTTCCCTCTTTCTCTTACTATTTATCTCCTTATTATCTTCCAATATCTGTATTACAAAAACAGGAAGCTCATTATATTTTCTTTAGCAGGCCTACTGTTCAAGGAGATTCTGAATCATTCATAAGTGTTGTAATTTTTTAAAACTGCAGCCAAACAGACCTTGAAACTGAATTGATATTGATAGCGATTCATTGCTTGCTCCTGGCCAGTCACTATGTTTTTCTCTTTTTTACCTCTAGTTTCAAAAGGGATGGCTGTCTGACCTATACTTACATTCTGGCATAGATTTTAAAGGACAAGAAGATATTATGTCTGATAAGTCCATTAAAAGCTACCTGCTCTAATAAAGAAAGGGACTGCTCTCGCCTTCATTTATGTCTACTCCCAAGGTGCTTTTCCACCTTTGGAGAAACTTTAAAAGGGAAAATATGTTGCTGGTAAGTCTAGTTGTGTGGGTATAGGAGGAAATAGAGGCCTTAATAGTATTAGGACATAGAGGTCATTGTGTTACACCACCACTGAAGTTACTAGGCTTGGTACATTGGCTTAAAAAGAAAGTTTGGCAACAAGGATGCACCACTGTCCTGCATAATTACCACAGAGAGAAGTCCTGAAAATAGGACTTCTGTTCTCAAGGAAAGGATGTGGGATATCTTATACTAGCAAACTGAAATAGCTTTCGTGGCCCGTGTTGGCTAAGGTTTATGTGGGACTCACCAAATACGTAGAAGTCCTCTAAAGTCTAATTTATAATACCTATATTAATAATTTTGTAAGGGTAAATCAGTGTGTACATACTGAAATCATTTTCTCTGTAAATGGTTGGATTTCATTTCACCCTTAAAGGGATGTTTAAAGGAAAAAAATAAAACAAATTACACAATGAAAGGGAACCTGGGACGTGTGCTTGTTTTTATTTCGAACTGGAACAGGAAGACGCTCAAGGAAGAGGGTAAGAGAGCCTGTTTCTTTCAGCTCTGAATAAACACACATACATATATGGAAAAGTATGCAGTGTTAAAATATTTGTGTACTTTTTAATGGGGTGTAGAGTATGTAACCACTTTCTCTCACAGTTGTGACAGCTTGATTCAGCCATCTATCCTGGTTTTTTAAACAAACTGCATAATAATGTAAGAATATGAACTAACTTCGTGCTCACTGGATTCTGAAAAAGGCTTCAGTTAGCATTAGAGTTTATAATCCAGACACAGAAGAACGCAGAAATATTATATTAAATATTATAATTACATTGCTTAATATTGCTATTAATTCATAATGATCAAGATAATTTAGAAAGGATGTGAGCTGGATATTGATGTAAATTGACAAAGTTTTTTTCCATTACAAATAAAGTTATGGACAGAGTGGAAAAAGTCACTGGGAGGTCATTTTACACTGATTTTTGTGCTTCAAAGGTGGAAGAAGCGAATGCTGGCTGGGGAATTCTGGGAGTTGAAGTCCAGGCATCTTCAAGTTGCCAAGGTTGAGAAACACTGACCTAGAGTGTCCCATTGGAACATTCCATGTCAATTGTTTTCCAATTGAATCATCTCTATGTTCCATGCCCTACTCTAGGGAACAATGGGACTGGGGGGGAAAAGGTTGTTTCTTCTTTATTTTTCACCTAGGAATGATTGCCTTCTTTACCTAAAAAAAATATCCAAGGGAATGATTTTTCAAAACAAAAGTTTGTGGAAAGTTTTTAAAAATTCCTATAAGATTGTTTAAGTACATTTTCCCACCTTGCCCACAGAAAGAGTTATAGAAGCCTAGCAAGGAACAATCTATACCATGCTTCATTCAACTGAGCCCTGAACATGAAGAGGAGCAAATATATATGTATTTACTGTTTATTGGCTTGAGATTTGTTTAACATACAAACAAGTTGATGGCTGGGGGCTAACAGCAGCATCTACTTTGAGCATGTGTTTATGTAAATGCTATTTTTCCCTTGCTCTATTTCCTTACCTATTTTTGTCCAAGCAGTAGAGATAGAATCACGCTGCAATGTCCTTGTAAAAACAAAGAGCCTCTTAGAATACTTGAAACAATACTGTTCAAAATGGCTGTTTGATTCAGGTTTGCGACAAAACAGTGCATTTCATTCAAAGATAAGGACAAAGCAGTTTGAACATGATTCCGTTCCAACCTCCACATGCTCAGAATATCTGTTCCAAGCTTGAAATCTTTTATACATCCATTGTGAAATGTATTTCCAAGGTATTAAAATGGAATTCCACATAATTTAACCGGTGAACAGTTATTCATTGGAAGCTTAAGCATTATAAATCATGGATCTACTTCAGATATTTTGTTTGCAATTCGAGATTAGAAGAGAGATTAACCCGTGATAGTTGGCATTATCATTTATAAACATTTCTCCAGCCCCTCAATCATTAGAGCAGTTAATATAGATTTTGGCTTTCTGTTTTATAAAGTGAAGATGAACAAACACACCCACAACGAGTCCTTCTGATAAAGATATCTATTTCAGACTGTACAGAAAATTCAATTTGTCAACAAAGATCAGCTTTATCATTCACTCATTTGCACTCGTACTGTATCAAGTTTTCCAAATGTTGGCAGGGAAAGATTATTGGATCATTTAAAATAACAATATAATTTAGTGTCTTCAGTTAATGGAGAATAAACAAACAAGCAAACAAATAATGTAAGCTTTGGTCCACATTCCATATTATAAGATGCTCAGGACTTGTCACAGGGAAAAAAACCCGTCATGTTCTTCCAACTCATTCTCTGAACTGCTTAGTGCTTTCTCATTTAAAACAAATATCTGTGAAACTACCTGGAGCTGTATTCTGGTCTCAGTGTCCAGCTTAGTGTCATCTGTTCCCAATTTTGTCTGGTGGTTGAACAAGATATATGGTCTCAGCTGGCCCCCAGGTTTATGAAAGACTGAGGATAAAGCATGGTGGCACTACCAAGCAACATCAGGAGTTCACTGGTGGTCTTTAAGAAAGCCAGAGGTCCTCAAACTTTTTAAATGGAACCAATTCACGGTCCCACAGACTGTTGGGGGGAGGGGGACAGACTTGCTGGGTGGGTGTGGCTAGGTGGTCATGTAACTGGGTGGGTGTGGCTAGGTGGTCATGTGACTGGGTAGATGTGCCTAGGTAGTCATGTGACTGGGTGAGCATGGCCAATTTAGCAGTCCATTAAATTAAATTAAATTAAACTTTAATTTGTTATGCTCCTGGGGGTGGAAAGCAGGTTAGGGAAGGGATGTGGCTGTCTCGGTGTGTGTGTACATCTCTCTATCTCTCTCTCCCCCTTCCCCCCCCTCTGGAGGCTGGGGAGGACAAAAACGGGCCCATTTTTGACCTCGACCTCCAGAACTACTCTGCCACCCAAAAACTGGCCTGTTTTTGGCTTCCTGAGGCCTCCATGCATCCCATTTTTGGCCTCCTGGGCCTCCAGAAGATAGGTGGGGGCAGGTGGGTAGATGGGGCGATATGGGTGGGCAGTCTTGTGGTCCTTCACAGGCCAAATTAATGGCTTCAGTGGGCCGTATCCAGCCGCCAGGCCGTAGTTTGAGGAGCCCTGGTGAAAGCTCATCCATTGCCTGGTTGACCTAGTGCAGCTGCCTAGAAGTTGGAAAAAGGATAGTGAGGGCTGGAGGCACGTTATGAGATAGCATGATTGAGGAATGGCTGGGGCTTGAACCATTTATCCCCCCTCTCTCCAACATACCTTAGGTAGGAGTCAGAACAGGGAATAGGGTCCTGCATTATAAGAACGTGAGTTTTGCCCTCCATCTCTGGTGAAAATGGGTTGGATTTTTTGGAGAGAGTATGCAGGGGGATTGGCTCACCGGTGCTATGTGCCTCATCTGATGTTGCTTACCAATTTAGAGGAAGTGGGTTTAAAGCTGAAGTGTAAATTGGACCTTTAATGGCTGGGGAAAAGGAGTAGGAGGTGGTGTTGAGAGATTGGTCAGTGGTCAGATTCAGGGGAGAATATTGTGATGACAGGCAATGGAGGATATGGGAGAAGTTGGGATGGGATGCACACAGAGAGCATGGGAGAAATGCCTTGTATCAATCTCACATTCCAACCCTCTGCCTCCATCTTCAGTTACAGGTTACGGAACCTTATGCAAGCAAGGTGTTTTGAATGTCAAGTTGGCTTCTAATAATGGTCCTTATGAGAAGTGGAATCAGGAGATCACTAGCCTTGGTGCTAGTGGTTAGAATGCAGTATTGCAAGCTAACTCTGCCCATAGCCAGGCATTTGATCCTGACCAGCTCAAAGTTGACTGAGCCTTCCATCCTTCTGAGTTTGGTAAAATAAGAACCTAGATTGTTGGGGCAATATGCTGACATATATAAACTGCTCAGAGAGTGCTATTGCTTATCTGACCCTGCATAAGATGACTGACCTAACATATATTATCAAGACCTGGCTGGGCCAAGATTGGGGAGTGGTGGTGGCTTACTCTGAAACATGCCCAGGGGGTACCAATTCTAAGCCAGAGTGGGGAATTCCTACTGTTTTCTTAAGATCTGCAGGAGCTGATCTGTAACCAACTGTGTTTGAGTCACAATTGTGAGTCTAGGTCTTAAGACTCAATAGAGAGTTCTGCTACTTTGCTCATCGCCTTGCTGTTTGGCATCCTCCCTGCTTCCTCTGCTCAGTGCCACCTCTGAATTTGTAATGATCTATGATTTGGGAGGATTTTAATCTGCCATCCTTGGGGACAGATTTAAAAGGCAGTGTAGGAATTCGTGACCACCTGGGATTTGACTTAAGTTTATTGCAGAGCCAATCCCCAGGACAGGTCATAGGTTAGTCTGTTTTTATTTTTGAGATAATGGTGATGTGATTTTGTGGTAAACAGATCACTCCTTGATGATGCTGGTCTTTTATTTTTTTAATGATGTATAGTTATTTTTTGTTTTTTGGTTAATGCTTATTCTTGTTGTATGTTGCCCAGTCATATTGTTTGAATTAGGCTTAAAATGAATAAATAAACTTCCTGCGAGGAATATTGTGCATTGTACAGGAAGAACATCAACTCATATTTGTAAGAAATGCCTCAACGTTTCATATAAGGCCTTAGATTTGGAAATATCATTACTATGGTCACAAGTTTCCAATATCATGTAGAAATAGAAAACTAGTGAGACAGAGGCATACTCCCTCATTTTTAGTTTCAAATAATTAAAAGGAAACTAGCCCATATTTGATAACTTGCTGAAAACAATCTAGACAAATTAAAATAAGTAGGTAAATTTTATATATCGAGAGGTCTATGGGATATTCAGAGTTGTCTTAGGACTTACCTGAGTAGTCAATAAAGTGCAAACTGAAAATGATCTTGTGCATTGGTAATGCTTAAGGATTTGAAATCCAGCAATAGGACTATTCAAGCTCCTACCCAAATGCTTTGCTTAATAGGAGTGAAACACTGTCTGGAATATTACCTTCTGTGAAACTAAATATAGAAATCTTAAGAGAGG